GGTCCACCTGTATGTGCCGCCTTGCCACAGTACTTCTGAAGATGCAGGGATTCCCAAGTGGGTGGGGCCTCGTCGACTATTGGTTCTCTTTTTCAGGCTGGCTGTCAAGTTCTTAGTGTGGAGGACAACATAGGACAGAGCTCCTTCCTCTCCCCTCAGCCTTCTCATTCCCAAAATGAGCTTGGACAGCTTCTGAGGCAGGCTTCCTGGAGGCTCTGTGTCCTGTCTGCCCCCCCACCTCCCCACCGCCCCACCCCCCAACTCCCCACCCCCTACCCCGTAGCAGCTGCCCTGCTATCACATAGCAAGCAGCCTTTGGTGTCCCCTGCCCTCCTGCCTCCTCATTGTCCCCAGGCGACACAACTTACTTTTCTTCTAAGAAGTTTGTGCCAGTTTCTGAGAAGCAGATTTTCTTGAGTTGCAGCCTCTGAACAGGGCCATAATTTCTTCAGAGCCTCCGGCTGTCCCCACAGCCTGCACTCAAACTGTCCTGGCCTCCGGCCCCCTATTGTTATTTGTCTCCTCTCTGTCAAACTTACCTCTCAGAATTTTTAGCAATTTCTCTGCTTATCAACAAAGCATAGCTAATGTATCCATCACTTTTCTCAGTGTTGCTACAAAATATCTGACAAAAGCAACTTTAAGAAGGGTTCCTTTGGGCTCCCAGTCAGGAGGTTCTGGCTGAGGGCCCAGTGTGAGGTGACTTCCTCCTTTTTCCTGTTCACTCTTGGACCCCAGCTGATGAAATGAACGGTGTCACCTGTATTTGGGGTGTGTTTTCTCTCCCCCCCCCAACTCCCCCCAGTTAAAATTCTCTGGAAATGCCCTTACAAACACATCCAGTGTTGTGTCTTCTCGATGTTGAAACTCAGTCAGGTTGACAATGAGGGTTAACCATCATATGTGGTTTCTAAGGGTTGCCTGTAACCCTTCTTCCTTACAGCCAGAGAGGAAAAGTCATTTTAATTACGGGAGTTTTGATGTGGTCTTCTTGAAGTAACCTATTTCTATTTCTTGTTCTTTTGGTGTTTTGTTTTGCTTCTTTTGATGCTGGGAATCCAGAGCCCTACACTAGGCAAGTGCTGACCCATTGAGCTACAACCCCAACACCTCAGTTCTGATCTCCCGTGGAACAAAATATACAGGGGAGCATAGAGGAACATTATTCTTCTTTACTTGTCTTATAGAACAAACTTTAGCCCTACTCTGACCTAAATAAATAAATAAATAGGACCAAATAGGTCTCACTGTGGATGATGAGACCAGGGTGGGGGAGTGATAGCTGGACCATCATTTGTAGTAATGATGCATAGCTTAGTGCCGATAGATGCTTTCTGTGCCCTTTCAAAAAGCATCATTTTTCATATCCCAAAAGGAAAGTGCAATCAATAGTAAGCCTAAAATGCACGTGATTCCTTTTTGTTTTCTTCGCCTTTATATTGCTACTATCACAACATGGTTAGATTCAGGCAGTTCGGAAAGAATTTCTGGTGAGTTGAGGCACAAAAAGGCAGTCGTCAGCAAATGATCACACCTGTGCCCTACTGAAGTCACTGCAACTCCCCAGAAGAGAAGCAAGACTAGCAGATGCTCGCTGGCCCACTGAGCATCTGCCTGATGAAGTCATATCGGGTCTGTGCTAGGATTCTGACCACAAGCAGAGTGGAGAGGTCAGAAGACAGTAGCTACCTCATCCTCCACTTTCTGTGAAAGGCAATTAGAGAGCTAGGGCCTGAGGAACTTGTTCAAATGTAGGCCAAGGTCCATGATGTAGACATTGTAGGTCTGTGGATTCAGCCAATTACAAAAGAATACCTCCAGAAGAAATGTTATGAGTGATAGTCACATTAGTAAACACGGTAGGCATCACAAGTCATTTATTTGCAGCCAGGGGAGATTATAGAGTTGCCTGTCAATCAAGGGGCCATTTTCCTAACCCACCTTCAAATGCTGATCCTGATCTGGGATGTTTCCTTATTGTTCCCTCATGACTACACAGAATTCTAGATTAGTGTGGGGATGAGGCATCACCAAGATGGCTGTGCCAAAAGAATTAAATGTCAGTCCCAACCCTTCCTTTTGTGTGGTGGTGTATCCCAAGACCACGTGGAAACCTGGAAGTTGGACAAGAACCAAGCCCTGTGAACACTGTGCTGCTTCCTGTCAGTCTTCCATATGTCCTTCTTGTTTCTGTGGTTCTCATCCGTCCTCTTAAAAGGAGCCCTTTATTGCATCTCTTTGGTATATCTGAATTTCCAGCATCACTATTCTTTAGGCTGGTGGCCATTATGATGTTTAAAACAAGGGTCACCTGAGCCCATGCTCTGTAGCACCACAGGCTCCTTCAGGCAAGTGAAATGTCACTGAATGGCCAGTGGCAAGATCTTCTGCAGAATGGGCATGTAGGAAAGAGGAGTGATTCACTGTCATGGAGTAGGATGGCATGTCACTTAGTCTGAAAACTGAGACACTGCTTAACATTAAGCAATCAGGATACAGTTTTGGTATGTCGGACAGAAGGTGATTCACACCTGTGGTATGTGATGACATTGTGGTCAGTATGAAAACTGAGACATCAATTAATGACTAGCAAGCAAGTAACTTATATGCCATGGATATGTCACTCAGAGAAATGATACGTGCATGTGCACACACACACCTACCTGTGAAATGTACTGGCATGGCAATCAATCTGAAAACAGACATTGCTGAGTGACTAGCTAGCAGGTGACTTACACGGCATGGATATGTTAGGTAGAAAGCTGGTTCACCCCAGTGACTCCATCCTGCTTCTCAGAATTATGTATGATTTAAAATGGACTGGTTGTAGAGCAGTGAAATAACTCAGTAAGTGAGACCATTTGCTATGCAAGCCTGGCGACCTAAGTTTGATCCCAGAAACCCATGTAAAGGTAGAAGAAGAGGACTTTCTCCAGCAAATGGTCCTCTGACATCTATGTGTATAGTGTGGCATGTGCCTGCACAATGATTATAAATATATACTTTTTTAAATTTATGGGTTGTTTATCTATGGAATTTTCATTTAATATTTTCAGATTGTGGTTGACTATAGGAAACTGAAGTATGGGAAACAAAATCACAGTCTATGGAGCACTACTGCAGTTATAGGTATTTTCACATAATTGTGTCACTAAATTAAAGGAAGGTCATGAAGAGAAAGCAACAAGCAGTACACAGTCTGTTGTACTAGCAAACTCGTTAGCTCGAATCCATCAGGCTCCTCCAGCATCATTACCTCTTACTTTTTAAAAAAGGCATAGATATGCTTGTGTGTGTGTGTGTGTGTGTGTGTGTGTGTGTGTGTGTGTGTGTGTCATGCCTCCAATACCGACCCTACTCTGAATGACACTAAGAAGTGTCACTTACGTGAGCTTGGACTGTGATATAGAAAGGGACAGCATTATAGCAAATGGCCCAGGAGGGCCCTGCATCCTCTTTTCCTAATTAAATGACAGAAATGTTCCCTATAAGCTCAATCCAGTAAGAGCAGGTTTCTCCTGTTTGCCAGCCACTATGATAATGACTATTTGTGGCCAGGAAGGAACAGAAATTGCTGACAGGATTATATTTCTTCTGCGGCAAGCTGGTGTAGATGCTGGCTGGCACAGTGCCCTGTGCTCCTTAGGACTGATGATATCCTTGTAGCCAAGTGTGATTTATCCACTTTCCTTTTCATCTGCCCCCTGCCTACTGCCTTTGACCTCCTGCCCTGCTGTGGTCTCTGGACAGCTAGCAGATAAGCTACTGTAACCAACACAAGGCCAACCTGTTAAACAGACTCTGGACATGAGGGCAGGAAGAGGATTTTCTACCAGGGGGCCTTTCTTCTTCTTCTTCTCCTCCTCCTCCTCCTCCTCCTCCTCCTCCTCCTCCTCCTCCTTCTCTTCCTCCTCCTCCTCCTTCTTCTCCTCCTCCTTCTTCTTCCTTCTTCTTCTCCTGCTTCTTCTTCTCCTTCCTCTTCTCCTTCTTCTCTTCCTCCTCTTTCTTTCTTTTAATTATTTTAACTGCTGCCTCCCACGCCTCCCCCCCAAAAAAAAAGCAAGAAAGAAAAATTTAGTGACCATCAGAGAAAAACAATGGCAAATAAATCTGCATGTTCTATAGGTGTGTGTGTGTGTGTGTGTGTGTGTGTGTGTGTGTGTATACATGTGTGCAGGACCCAGCTACTTTTTCTAATATCAAGGACCATTATTATAGGGATTCAGGTATTAGGTCCATATTGATTGTCCCATGAGTGCTACTGACAGTTTGAAGTTTTGAGACTTTTTTTTTTTAACCCAAATGGCCAAATTCAGAGAATGGGTTCTTGTGGACAGGGATCATGGTCTGTTCCACTTAACGGATCTTGGTTGAAAACAGATACTTTTTTCCATTCCACAGCTCTGTTGATGAATTAGACATGGCTCCCATTAGGGAACAACATTCCACATGCCCACACCAATGGACAGCAGGATTCAGAATGGTGCAGGGGCATTCCTGCTTGGATATACTGTGCCCCAAGTGGCTTTGCTTTTGTTTGTGCAGTGTGGTCAGTGAAATGAACTTAAGTCTTCCTTCACTGAGTGCTGCTGTAAGACAGGAGCCATGCAGGTGGGCAGTGAGTAGAGAGAACTTGCTGGTGATCCATTTAGAGGCTGAGAGTGTCCCCAGTGCATGTCCTAGGTTGGAAGGAAAGGTGACGTCATGGGCAGCAAGGCGACCTGCTACACAGCAAGCTTTCCAATGCCACAGAACAAAGGAAAGGGGATAATGAAAGATGCAAACTGTCTCCACAAGCAGCATGTCTCTGTTCCTGAGCTGAGCACCTATAAATGCAATGTCCTTTCCTCCAGTTTATTTTGTGACCTTGAGCATTGACCTCACTCTCTTACCAATCAGGCCTCAGTTCTCCCATGTATCCAGTGACGTCCTAGCACAGGACTCCTCAGTCGTCAGGCAAGCAAGTGGCACTCACATCTCCCATATTGTTTGTTTTCTAGGAATAGAGCTGTGCCCTCCAGGAAAACGGTTCATGATTACCATGGTGGCAAGCTTCGTGGCCATGGCAGGCCAGTTCCTCATGCCGGGGCTGGCAGCTCTATGCCGGGACTGGCAGGTGCTCCAGGCCCTCATCATCTGTCCCTTCCTGCTCATGCTGCTCTACTGGTCGTGAGTATCCTTCATAATGTACCCCCTCATCCATGCCTGACTGCAGACCCTCACCTCCACAGTGTTAACATAATTTTCCTGACAGGATCTCACCCTAAATCAGTCTTTCTCAACACACATGCACACACGTACGCACGCGTGCCCACACACAGACTCCCATACCCATTATTAACTGTTTACATTGTTCATATGTGGAATGAGCCCCTTTGTGGCATTTCCTAACCCTAATAGCTATCCATGACATCACACTGACCTGACCTGCTTCTGTCTATCATATAGTACCTCAAGATGAATATCTATGAATGGACTTACATATAAATGGTGGGAAGGTCCTTTGTTAGAATGGGACACGTGGAGGGAGGGGCTGAGGGAGCAATTTAGAAAAGCTCCCTATCTCCTCTAGGTAAGGAGTGAACAAATTTCAGCCCATTGCACAAATCTGGCTCATCATCTGTTTTTGCAAATAAAGATTTATTGGAAGACAGCCATTGTCATGTGTTCACAAATGCATTGCCTATAGTTACTATGTCAGCAATGGCATGGCCCAAACAGCTGAAAATACTTATCATCTGATTCTTTATTAAAAAAAAAAAAGTTTGGCCATCATGCTTAAGATTAATTAATATGACTTTTAAAGTCATATGTAAGAACTTTTTGGGTTGCCAACTTTGGGGAGGGGAATATTGAGCACACTCTCTTGGGTTTGACCTAACTGTCTAAGGAGTATGAACATGCTGTAAGAAGAAAAACTTTAAACTGTACAGCTTTAAAAGCCAAATTGTTTTTAGTTTTGAGAGATACCCTGGGGCTTTAACATGTGCAGTATGCCTGTGTATAATGGAAGGTACCACGCACCATGCTCAGTTCTGGCTAGGTCAGCAACTTGTTCCATGTCTCTCTAATCCCCTGCTTTCTCAGAGCTATAAAAAGTGGGTCATAATCGTTCTACCTGTTTTGAAGACTAAAACGCTGCATGCAAAAGGGCGCATGAGAGGGCAGTCTAGAGGGGAAACTGGGAGATAAATAGACATTGTAACCTTTGGCAAGTAACCTCTGCCCCTCACGTTCACCAGTGCCCTAAGTCATAATAATAAATAATTGGGTTGGGAGAATTAGTAGAGACACCTAGATTGATGCCTGTCATCTAGTATCAATATGTTCGTGGTTATGATCAACTTGATTATTACAGTTTATATTTATATTGATACTTCGCATGTGTCAGGTATTAACTACCATAAGTATTAACTACTGCTACTACTGTTGTTGTATCAACCCTTAATAGAAACCTGTGTGGAGGAGCCACAACAATCTTGGGAGAAACGTGTTCTGCCTTTTTCTACTAGGCCTGAAAGGCTCCTCGAGATCGGGTGGCTTTGAAAACTGTGTGGGTGCCTGTCCTTTCTCCTCGCCTCTCTCATTACCACTGCCCTGCCATCGCCTCCTGCTGGCTGCCACAGTTCTTTGACAGGCTTCAGTGGTTGCTGGAGGGAGATGTGACTAGTAGCATCAGCCAACACAACCAGCTGTTGGTGGCAAAGTACAGAACGTGACACACGTTTCTTTAACAAGAAGGTATTTACTGCCTGCACTCAGGGTGTCCAGCAGCATGCTTGGTGACTGCTCACTCTGCAGGGAGCAGCCTGAGAAGCCCAGGAGCTATGAGGGAGAGTGAATCCTCAAGTTGCAAGTGGTGGGATCGGGCCAGAAGATGATGGTTGTGGAAGGGATCTTCTGGTCAAGGTGGTAGACAGACAGACAGACAGATGCCTTTCTATATGCACATGGATGCTGAATAAAATAAATCACCACAAAATTAGTGATGAGCTGGGCTGGAAGGAGGGGATCCCAGCTGCGCTGTCATGGAGACAGCACAAGGTTTCCAATCTGACAGCAGCCTAGGGACCTGCCCACAAGCTAGAACTGAGCTCTTGGATGCATTTGTTGCTCCTGAGTCACTGACCCTGTACCTGACAGAAATGGCTCAAGGGAAGAAGGCTTTACTCTAGCCCATTGGTCAGAGAGTGTCAGTCCATCACAGTAGGAAGGTATGTCCAAGCAGCTCAGTTTATGGTGGTGGAGTACATTGCAGACATTGTCCACATCACAGTAAAGTAGACCAGGAAGAAAAGAAAGGAAGTGAGCATGGATAAACCCCAAGAACTCACCCTGAATAACCTACCTCCTCCAAAATTTCCAGAACCTTCCATTGGGGATCAAGTGTTTAAAGCATCAACCTGTGGGGGTGCTACAGATTCAGACTACAACACCAAGGCTTGGCTGTGGGATGCTCCACACCTGTTCTTAAGCCAGAGACTTAGTTTTCAGTGTAGTGGTGTTAAAGGGTAGTGGGATTTGGTCATTAGGGGTATGCCGATAGAAGGGATTGACAATGGTCTCACAGAGTGAGTGACCTAACCCCTAAACCTCTCTGATGTCCCTCTTGCCATGAGATCTCTGTCTCATTGTGATTCCACATACCTTAGACCCTCACCAGAGGTCTAACTGCCCAGTCTTGGACTTTTAGCCTTCAAAACTTGGGACTTTTATGTTGCCCTGGCACAGACATTTTGTTTTAGCAACAGAGGAAGAACTAAATACAGGCTTGGTATACAATTAGAACTGAGCTCCTTGAATAAAGCCAAGAATCAAAGACCAGAAAGGCTTTCCTCGCCACAGGGCCTCCACCCGCAGCTGGCTGACTCCCTGAACTATGGACTGAAAAAAATTCTCCCTCAAACAAAAGCAAAGCTTTGAAGTCTGTATTGAGCGTGCGTGTGCACATGCATGCACAGATTTTAAACACTTACATGCACAGATTTTAAACATTTGCCAAGACTGAGATCCTGACCTTCCAGAGTCAACAAAACCTCCTAGGGAGGCACACAGGGCTCACATGGAAGAAATTTCTTGACAAGGATGAGCTCACAGACAAAATTCACACATTCCTGGGGGAAGGTATTATGAGGGCCAGAAACTGTAGACTTGGGAATTTTCATCTCAGAAAGCACAGAACACAGAACAGTCTAAAAGGAAAAGTGGCTATTATTGAGTTCCTACCCCATGTTACTATTCTAGATACGGCACCTGCACTCAAACAAGTCATTATTCTCTGGAAATACAGAAGGCAAATGCAGGTGAAAGGTTGCCCCCTAGACTATCGCCCCATAAACAAGCCAGGAAGAGGCTTGTCTTAGGGTTACTATTACCGCGATAAAACACCATGACCAAAAGCAACTTGGGGAGGAGAGGGTTTATTTCACTCACTGTTCCATATAACAAAAGGCAGTGAGGGCAGGAACTCAAGCAGAGCAGGAACCTGGAGGCAGGAGTTGATGCAGAGGCCATGGAGGGGTGGTGCTTCCTGGCTTGCTCCCTATGGCTTGTTCATCCTACTTTCTTATGGAACCCAGGACTTAGCCCAGGGATGGCACCACCCACAATGGACTAGGCCCTTCCCCTATCGAAAATACCCTATAGGGCTTGCCTGATCGTATAAAGGCATTTTCTTAATTGAGGTTCCCTTCATTCAAATGACTTTAGCTTGTGTCACACTGAAATAAAACCATCCAGCACAATTGACCCCTTGTCAACTTTACACAAAAACACATCACTACAAAGCCACAGCCTTTCGTTTCTTGTTCATCCTCAAGATCACACATTAATATAAATACTACAATATAAAACATTTTACAAATTTAAACAGTCCCAGTCTTACAAATTCAAACACTTCAAAAAATACAGTCTCTTAAAAGAAAAAGTCTAGGCCTGGTGGCAGTGGTGCACGACTTTAATCCTAGCACTTGGGAGGCAGAAGCAGGCAGATCTCTGCGAGTTTGAGGCCAGCCTGGTGTACAGAGCTAGTTCCAGGACAGCTAAGGCTAAGAAACCCTACCTCAGTGGATTATGGGATCCACTCATAATCTTCCTGGCTCCTCCAGACGGCATGACCACTTCTCTGACTCTGCCCTCTGCAGCACACACCAGCCAGGCTCCAGCTGGCTCCACTCCTTTCCTGTCCCTGGTGGTCATCCCATGTTCTGACAGCTCTCAAATGCTGGGGTCTCTGCTACAGCTGGGCTGCACTTTCACCAATAGCCTTTCCGAGGCTGTCATCATCGTGCCAAACCTCAACTTCTCCATGACCCCTTCAGTCCCGGAGCGCCAACTGCTACTGAGTCTGCATCCTCCCAAATGGCCTATCCCAGCCTCTCACAGTGCCAAGCCTAAGCTGCTTCTCATAGCCCCTTTATGCCTTCAAAGCTTGGGGACTCTTGCATTGCTAAATTGAGCTGCCAGCATGAGGTACAACCTTGGCAGCCTTGGCCCTCTCTGGAACAGAGCTTGTATGCTGGCCTTGAGAAAACACTTTCCAGAAGTCTTTACCTCAATAACACATCTCTTTTTAAATCACAGCTGATTCTTCAGCCTCAGATGACCAGCATGCACTGTCCCAGCAAAGCAAAGTTCTACTTTAGTGATTCTGGTCTCTTGTTAATCACAGCTGATTCTTCAGCTCCAGCTGGTCAGACATCACAAATTCTTCACACACATTTCCTGTGAGAGTCTTTGCCTTCCTCTGAAACTTCACGAGCCAGGCCTCCATTGTCTGCACTGCTCGCAACTTTTTTATCTCCCAAGCTTCCACAACTCACCAAACTTAGAATACTCAATGGCTTTTCTGGCCCAAAGTTCCAAAATCCTTCTATAGTCATTCCAAAACACATGGTCAGGTCTGCCACACCAATACTCCAATATCCTGGTACTGATGAGTTCCTAGTCAGGATTTCTATATCTGTGATAAAATACCATGACCAAAGCAACTTGGGGAGGAAAGAGTTTGTTTGGCTTACATTTCCATATCACTGTTCAGCACTAAAGGAAGTCGGGGCAGGAACTCAAACAGGACAAGAACATAGCAGCAGGAATGCTACTTACTAGCAGTCTTGCCTGCAGCCCGATCTTAGGGAGATACTTTCTTAGATGATTTTAGCTGGTGTCTA